GGGGCCCCTCAGTACGAGACAGACCTTGAGGTCCTGGAGCGTGTTCAGAGAAGGGCAATGGAGCTGGGGAAGGGCGTAGAGCACAAGTCTGATGAGGAGCAGCTGAGGGAGCTGGGGTTGTTCAGCCTGGAGAAGAGGAGGCTGAGGGGGGAGACCTGATCACTCTCTACAACTACCTGAAAGGAGGGGGTAGTGAGGGGGGTGTTGGGCTCTTCTCCCACGTAGTTAGCGATAGGATGAGAGGAAATGGGCTTAAGCTGCACCAGGGGGGGTTTAGGTTGGAAATTAGGAAAAATTTCTTTACGGAAAGGGTGGTCAAGAATTGGAATAGGCTGTCCAGAGAGGTGGGGGAGTCCCCATCCCTGGAGGGGTTCAAAAAAATGGGCAGAGGTGGCACTTTGGGATATGGTTTAGTCTGGTCTACTCTTGATTGGTTTAGTGTGGACTTGGTAGCGTAGGTTAATGGTTGGACTGGATGATCTTAAAGGTCTTTTCCAACCTAAACAATTCTATGATTCAGTTACAAGCCTGAGATTTTTAGGCATCCCCATAAAACCCCGGACAGTGCTGAGGCTGATTTTTTGTGTCAGACAGGAACGGGTGGTTTGCTGCATGCAGCAGGGCATGGGAGATGCCTGCCCGGGGATGAGCAGGGTTTGAAAGGCAAGCTGTGGGCTGCAGGCCTCCTACGTAATCCTCTTGCGGAGAAAGATACGCTAGTGACCACAGCACGCCATTTGTGGGAGACAAAATGGATGGCTGTCCTTTAACGTGCTTGAAAATCATCTTCTGCACTGCCCCTGGCTCAGAACGCAGTGCTTAAATGACAATTAAATAACAAAACGGATCTTATTCTTTTTCTTGGTACACAGGTTGAACGCTTATGTTTCGATTCGCAAAAGCAAATTGGCATAAGCTCTGAGCGATGAGTTGTAGGTAGAGTTACCGCCCTTGAATACGTTGTTAAACACTCAAGCAGGAGCCCTCAAGTTAGGCATCCTTGTTCTTAATGCTCTGTGTCATTCTCCCGCCTCTAAAAATGGGGATAATGATGCACGCTGAAGGAGAGGATGTTGGGAGAAGGGAAAGATTGTTTGACTCAAATGAAGGTACAGACAACAGCAGTGCAGTGGGCTACCTTACAGTTGCAGGGGAAAGATGGATTTAACTATAGAAAGTTTCCTTCTCCAGTTAAGAGTTCTCTGAAATCTTTCTCCTGTCCAATACCAGCAGCTGAGCTCAGGGTGCCCAAGGTGGCACAGGAGCAGATCGTGAATAGCGGAGCCGCTCAGCGCAAGGTTCAGCGGGTGCTGCTGAAGCAATCGGTGACAGTCCTTCCCCTTCCCTAATTAACAGAGCCATTTGTAAAATTCAGAAACAGGCGGATAAAGACAGTGTTTTGCACCAATCTGATACGCAGCTGAATACGCTGCAGATGTGTCCAAAACCTATTTCTTCGTATTCCTGTGTTTTGCCCAGTCCCGATGCATTTCAGCAACCAATTAAGGAAGATACTAAAAGAAGCAGAACATGCTTTTAAGTTGGATACCAATTCAGCCCAAGTCTCGAGACAGAAAACTCTCCCTGTAGGCTGATGTACAAGATAAGTGAAATGATTTGGTTTCCCCTTTTTAACCAAAGCTGACCTCATATAACACCTCACATCCTCTTTCCTGGTGCAAACCAGCGAAAGGCAGAACTAAGGAGAGAAAGAGACAGTCCATACTGCCCAGAGCTGCTTCCAGCTCACCGGAGCTGAGGCATTCTAGAAGGAGGACGGATGGATATGGATGCCACCGCAGCTCGTGTGACAGATGGCAAAGGAATAACCTGCCATCGGGGTGTCTGTCTCTACTTCTGTCAAATGCGTAGATGGTATTTCCTAGTTTGTTTTAAAGTGAGCTCTGAAAGCTACTTGCAATTTTCTATTTCTCTCATCATCTAAGCTTGGTAGAAGCACTGTTGTAGCCTACTTCAGTAAGCAAGCTGAGGTTGCTAAAAGTACTGTGTCAGAACTGTTGCTCTTAAGACCTTTAACACAATAAGAAGGAAGCACTTTTAAGGTTTCACACAGCAAGGGATGCACTGGTGTACCACCATTCACTGTGCTTGGCGTTTACATACAGTGGTATTATTTAGCCTTAAAAACCCCGCGAGTCAGAATACTTAACTGCAGTGATGATTCACATACCCATAAAAAAAACCAGATTAAGTTGTCAGCTGCTTTTCAGCATCAGTCACTGAATAGAGCCGCTGAGAAAGTGAAGGGAAATGATGGTTGTCATGGACTGGGTAGGCTCAACTCCCACTTCTTCCTTCCAGTGGTTTCATTACATTTACCATCAGCCAATTTGCTATAAATTAGATATAGTCACTATACAGTAGTATATGAAGTACCTTAATGCCACACCAAAGCCATTTTTTTTCAGTACTACAGTGATTTTATGCTGCGATTTTACTTCTTTTTTGTAGTTCTGTGGACTCATTTCATCATGACCTCTTTTGAAGAAGCTGAAACTGAAGAAACAGCAACATGCCTCCACATGACCTTTTACCATCCCTGCCAAGAGGACAAGATGATGTTTCGTTGCCTGAATTTCTGTAAGCGAGAACAGGTCAGGGCAGATGAAACGGCCAAGTTTGGCCGCGATTCTAAAGTCTGCCATTATAACTTAATGGATACTCGTGTTTCTCGGATTCAGTTTTCATTGCAGTTTTACAGAAAACTGAACAGCTCGGAATTTTGTTTTGAGATAAAGAACATGAGCAAGAAAACAAAACTGACTGTGGACCACACAGAACTGGGTTACTTAAACAAAATCGACCTGCCATGGAAGTCTATCATTTGTTTTGGGGACTACCAGATTTTAGTAGAGGTGCAAGAAGGGGAGTCCGTGGATTATTTTGAGACTTACTTACACTTGGCTGAAGTGCCAATCTTACAAGAAAGATGCCTGCCATCGCTGCAGCCTACACCAGAGAATAGCACTACTTCTTCCTTGTTTCCTTCCCAAGGCAAAAGCCCCATAGAGATTGACGAAAATGAGTCCTGCTAGCGGGGAGAAGGAAGCCAGATCAGATTTTGATCATTTGAAACCTGCACAGCTTGCGAAATTGAAGGCTGTCATCTCAGTCCACTGCTCTTGACAGTTCTCACCGCTGCACATCAGTCGTCTTGTTTTCAGCACAGGCATACCAGAACGTACTTCGTTCAACAGAAACCGATTCCTGCCACTGTCTTCCCCAGGGCACATGTGCTCTCCCATCACCAGTGTTGGCCACATGAACGTGTGGGAGACATGGAGGGCTGCTCAAACCCATTGCAGCAGATTCAGTTCGAGAACTGTGACCACATGCCTCGAAAAATACACATTGAACAGGCATTTATATAGAGCGTGCAGAACAGTGTTATAGCCCCAGCATTGGTTAGCTAAGTAGGGACATTATGTCTCGCTGCATTTTTTTATACTTCGTGCTTTGCTTTTGACATGAAACTCCAAACAGTACTTTCAAGCCTAGGCTGTAACTTCCCAGATTTTGCAGCTTAGAAACACTTTGTCAGCATGGTCCTTTAAAGTTAATGTTTTTGTTAACTTTGCAGAGATTTTTCTCCTCTTTTTAAAAGTAATTAGAATATGTATTTTTTTTGCAAATTAACTGCTTTTGTTTGTGTATGTAAATAATCATGCAGCATCAGTGATCATGGTATGTAAAAATACAGATAAATTTTGTAATAAAAGCATTTGGTTGCCTAGTAGGGATTTGCTCTCTTCTACAACTACAATCTAAAAGTACTTACGGTGAATAAAATTATTTCCAGGACAATCCAGATAAGAAATTTTCACTGGCACTATTCGGGGCTTTGCAGAAGTGGCATTGCTCCAAGGTAAGAGTTGGCTAAAACACTTTAAGGTTTTTTTACCTCTACCCCCCACCCCAAGCTCTCTTAGAATTTTGTTTTCATTTAAATATTTCTCAGGTTGTTTCGGTTAAGTTTTTCTTTGCTAGGGGCTCAGCTTTTCATTGGCACTTGTTTTTTTGTCAAGTGTTTTAATTCGCTTGAAAGACACACTGGAAAGAGTCGGAACAGAGCATACATTAAGAGTTACCCATCTTACCATCCTTAAACATCAGGATGCATTTCAGCATTCATCATTACATGAAAACCAGAATTACAACTGAGGGCAGGACAGCTGAATTACACAATGTAACCTGAGATTAAGGCAAACAACAAGTAAAAGAAAGTCACAGGAGAAGCAGTGAAACTCAAACACAGGCTTATGTAGGATTTAATTCGTCTATTCATCTCATCCTTGCCAAAAATACCTTGTTCCCACGTTTTCTACTCCTTGAACCAGCCTCTGGTACTTACTCAACTTTTACAGTCTTTGGCCTAGATGTGCAATTCTGCCTCCATCTTGGCACAAACACCTCTGTCACACACCCAGCCCCTCAGCTTAGAATCATCGAATCGTTTAGGTTGGAAAAGATCTTTAAGATCATCAAGTCCAACCACTAACGTAACACTACCAAGTCCACCGCTAAACCAGCTTAACAAAACAAACCCGAGCAGGTATCACCATGTCAGCAGACACAGTGCTACTGGTTGCAGATTTCCAGTACCTGTTGGCTGCTCGGCTTTTAAATGCTTTTGACCAGAGTCTTCTGACTCTTTAATTAGACAGCGTGACAAATACCTGCAAACACAAGCTGTCTAGAAAAAAAGCTAGATGCAAATATAAACTGAAACAAGCTCTTACATGTAAAAGCTTTTACATGAAACCAACCTCTCATATAAAACGCATAGGATTTCTTACATTCTATGAATTCTATGATTCACTAATTAGGGAGGAGGGAGCATTAGTTTTGCATTCCCAGCAAACAGCTCTCTTCCTATTAGTGCTCTTAAATTATTACAGGTGACATGCAAGTTCTTGTTTTATACTGCTGTGGGCTTAAATAACAGGTTGCTAATACTACCACTAAGCAACATTGTTATCCAATTTCCATTCACTGGCCCTGTCACGTAGGACATTAACTTATAGCACTGACCATATGAATTGCTTACACTTTCTGGGCTATAATCTAAAGAAAAAGTGACCACCCCAATCTCAAATTTTCAAGTGCAAATATAAACAGAAGTGTCTACAAACGGTACTTACCTGAGAAAAGTCTTCCGTCTGGTCTGCAGAGTGCTGCGTCTCATTGGATTTTGTACTCGCTCTGTACAGAGGGGCTTTACAGATACCCACAGATCTGGAGCAGAGCATTCCTTAGGCACATCCCCAGCAACCAGGAAAAATCCTTAGGTATAGAAAAAAAAACACCCAGCAATTCAATGGTTTTCGAACGCTAAACATTTCTACAACTATATTTACCCAGGGTAAAAATCAACCTCATAATACACATTAAAAAATGAATCCTCTCCTAGGAGGATCCTATCAGCGTGCTGACAGAAGTTAGACTGAAGAACAAGAGTTGTTTCAGCATACGCGTACCAAAAAATACTTTGTTCACCAGAAACAGATTCCGCTTCCGCCTCCCCCCCCACCCCGAGGCTGCCATTAGTCATATACTGCTAACTTCATTGTGAGAAATACTAGACACACAAAGGCAGCTAACATTTTTGTAAGTTTTTGCTTGGCTCAGCTGTCTTAATATTCACAATCGTGGTATACTAAAAGACAATGCTGAAATGCCGATTTTATGCTGAACCAAGTAACTTTGAACAGACTGCCCAAACAGTCATGTCAAATGATTTTATATTCGACAATGGCTCAACTTTAGCATCGAAACATATGTATATGAACAACTTAGTAAGACACTTCCCTGGAATTAAAAATATTAGTTTCCTGTTGAAGACACTGTATTTCCTATATACAGGCACAACCAGCTAAGTCAACTCAAATGGTGCGCTAGCTCAGACAGACTCGAAGACGTGGAAGCTGCTTGCATTACACAAGGAAGGTTATCTTACCTTTGAAGTACGAGGGTACAGCGGCTCATTTCTGATAGAAGAAGGGCTCCACGCTCCAAGTTCCTCAAGTCCTCTGTTATCACTGCTTGTTAGAGCTCGCATTCCAAAGCCAACAGGTCTCAAGAAGGGATGCTGTGGAATTCAGTAGTTAGAGAGACAGCTAGTTATTTATTAAAACCTTCCTTAGTTAGCTGACACATAGGTAATTTGAGGTAACATTTTAACAATTCATCTCCACACGCTGCCTTCACTGCGTGTGACACAGCAGCCACAAAGCCAGCAACAGATAAAACATTGCCAAACGTTAAGACTGAAAATTTTAATGACTTCTAAATTTGTACAGATACACATTTTACAGTACCCTTGAATTGTTTCACATGAGCTGTTTAGATACTCTTTAGATACTCTTTCAAAAATTTCTTAAATTTCCGCAACTACTGACCATCATTTCTATAAGTCAGTGCGACATACTGCACTCTGAAAAGCAGAACGCTATTACATGGCTATAGAACACACCCATCCCAGTAAAAGCCTCCAGCTGGAGTCAGCTTCTTTTTTCCCAAGCGCTTGTCCATTCTACGAGCAGGACTATCAGCTAGCTTACCTCCTCAAAGCACGGTCAGGACAATTTACCCTCGTGTTCACTGGTCAGGAACAGTAGTGACCACTGCAGGGTAAGTTACAGTTTCAGCAGGTAAAAAACGTGTTATTTACATGTTGAGAAAGTTGCCTTCATTTCCATAGGAATATATTATACAAATAAATGTTCAGGAGAAGTTACACAGTAGTAGCTTATGCCAAACCAAAAATATACATTTGACATGTACAAATTTTTAAAGCTTGTTACAGGCATTGCAAATGTAGATAACTACATTAAAATATTTTCAATGACATAGCTACAACTTCAATTAAGTGGAATGTTATCAACAAGATTCATCTGTTCATTAGTGTTGATATTTGTACCTATTTAATCCAAGTGTGCAGTATTTTTGTTCAAGTTACAATGAAGAGGACCACACTGTAGTGACCCTAATATTATACACAGGCTCGGATGATCTAAAAACAGTGACACAACCTTCACCGACAAATTCAGTTCTGATGATGATGCAGATTTAAGTACTTAACACAGCATGTTGCTTTTAGTCCACAACGGTCACGTTACACCCCGTCCCCCTTTTTTTCAGGGAAAAATAAGACAGCTACACAAAGTAACAGCAGAGTAGAATGGCTTTACTGAAACTTTGGGGAAAGCTTGAGATCTACAAGTGTTTTGTACGTCCTCTTCGGTGAGCTTTTTCTTTTTTTTTTAAAAAGTGTAAATTACATTAAATATCGGGGGAGACCACACAATACATTATACCAGATTTGCAGGAACTGAACATGTCCTTCAGTTTCAGTCCATATTAGCAGTATTAACCATCCAGTTTAGAGGCACAGGAAAGCTTGAGCACTTAAATACACTGTTTTGTAACTTGAACTTTTTTTTTTTTCCCTTTTCAAAATGCAGATACAGGAATTCAGTCTTGAGGTCCTTGTTCCTCCCACCCCAGCAGCAGAGCAATCAGAGCAATCATCCCTCCCACAGTTTGCTCAGAGAATGTTACTTTTCAATAACTGTTCCAGTCGAGCTGAGTTACAAGTTTTCCACAACTAAAAAATTTTAAGGATCATGTTGGTCCGTTTGGTGGGGTGGGGAAAGCAAGACTTTGGTCCTCCCAGTTCTCCACTAGATACTGGTTAATGTTTCCAGTTTGACGCATAAAGAATTTTTATAGTTGTTTTTCTATCTAGCACACACTTACTAAGTCTGGCATATTATACAAGACGATATCTTACCTAACCTGATGATTTATACTATGTTTATTGAGGTTACCTGTGCTTAGCATAAAGTAATAAAAAAATAAAATAAATGGCAAGAGGGCAACACAAGGCTGGGAAGACAATAAGCTAGGCAGGAAAACTAGAATTGCGCCAAAACTGCAGTTTACCATGTGTGAAATTTTTTTTGCGGCTCGCTAAGTGCACCCTCTAAATAGCTAAAGAACAAGTCAAAAAGCACATATTAGAAATAAAATATTT